ACCAAAAAAAATTGATTTATTAAATTTTATGTATTTTGGACACAAAACGGGAGGGGGTCTGCAAGTGAATTCATAGGGCGTTATATAAAAGCTAATTTTTACACAGGTTCTTGGGTCTTGGATTATAAATATGTATATACCTTATTGATATTTGAAAAAAGAGGTAAGGTACAGTTTTTACATATCAATAAGGTACATACATATTTATAAACCAAGACCCAAGTACCTGTGAATTTTTACCCCCCCCCCCCCAAAAAAAATCTATTTCTCAGTAAAATGTGCATATTCACTGCTTTTATTCTTGACGGAAATGAAATAAGAGCATCTGAAGTACAATATCCATAACATAGTATATACAATATCCATAACATAGTATATAACAGGTTTCTCAATAAACGTCAATTAATGATATTGTTATTTAAGTTTTACGGGGAGGGGGGGGGGGGTGGAGACGTACTTCTACTTCATGCGGGATTTTGAACAAAGTATTTCTTATTTCTTCCTGCTATAATCCTGAAGGCTGACAGTAGAAACTACAATACATATAATATTATTATTAGATTTTTTCTGTCGGTAGTGGTATAAATTCAATTCCCCGCGCTTGCGCGGGATTTCATCTAGTTCCTTTAACATCAACTAATTTGACGGTTTTAAAATTAATTCTTCATTGAACATGCTCTAAGTATCGAATAAGTTGGGAGGCATAAACACCATATGCAGGTGATAGTGGAATATTTAAGGATTTTTTTTTTTTAGTTTTGTGTGTGTACTTGGTGTGTAAATCACAGACTTGTCATATATCATATATCAAGTAAATATCAATTAAAATATCATTATCATATATTTCATGAAGCGCGCTACGCTATATTTCTTCGATTGACGATAGATGTAAATAGCATTCAAATCAATTTCATAGTTGGCTTAGTAAAAAAAAAACACAGCAAATGTGCATATTACTATATAAATAAGGAAAATTGACGATGGAAAAGCCAAAAAAGTCATCTCTTTGTCATGCAGTTGTTAGTTGTCCCTTATCACATAATTATCTACTCATGCTCTGATTATGACTTGCTTTAAAATATTCAAACTGCATGTCTGTGTTTTGAATTTGTTTTTGGTCTAGTTGTATTAAAATACATGTAGCACGTAAGTGCAGGTATGGAAAAGAGCACTGGATCAACCAATTTATTAAAATAAGCGTAAAAACGTTAAAAACATTTGTGATTAGATTCTGAAACCCAATTCCTACGCATTTCTTTTAATTTGCATGTTTGTTATCTTTTGTGTATGTAAAACGGTTTCAGTGAGAAAATAAAAAATGTTTGTCTATAACTTCCTGAATGATATGTTCAGCTTTTGTATGATCACGAAGTGATTATTTAACGCTTATTTAATGGTGTAGTAATGGACATTTTCGGTTGGGTAAACTTCTACAGCTATTATCGACTATGGATAAAAAGTGTGAAAACCATGTTGTGCGAAAAAGAAAAAATCTAATAATACAAATAAAATTTATATACATGTAATCCAACCAAATTAGTTCCTGGATACATTAGATACTGCATTTTTGAATGGCTCAAAACCATGTGTGTTCTGCATATGAACTACAGAATTTCTGATTAATATCCCTCCTGATTCGCTGCCAGTGGAAGGAAGTCAGGCAAATAAATACAAATTTAGTATAAACAAATCATTCTGAACGGGTATGAACCGATTGGGCTGGTAAAACGTCATCTCCCTCATCTACCGCTTGCATAAATTTCATTTGAAATGCTGTATTTTTATATATCATAGAGTGACAACCTCAAAAAACTTAGCAAAAATGAAAAATGATAACAGATATTAGAATATAGGTTTTGATATGCTATGAATTCATTTATTTTGAAAATGTAGCGTGCCCCCCCCCCCCCCAATAATTTTGCCGATATACAGATTACTATAGAAACATAGGTACTATATGCTTGTGCCCCATCAATAAAAACGTCTGATAACCTTTTTTTTTTTTTTTGCTTGTCAAGGAATTTTTGGTTGAAAGTACTCCCTCAACTAAATATTTATGGCTGTGCCCCCCCCCCCCCAACTGAAATTGCTTCCTACGGGCATGGCTGATTTGCTTAGCATTAGGAACGACGATAATATCCTATATATGAGATTTCACACTTTTGATCTGACAGTGACATAAACATAACATTCTCGTCTGTCAGTCCTGTACGTCGTCAGTATTGTTTTTATTAATTTAAAGTTTCTGTAATCGTTAAGCTATTAAAACAGACTAAAAGTAACGATTTGTTTCATTTTTTTTTACAATAAAAGCTAAGCCAAGAAGATAGTTCTGGTTGAGAGATTTATTGATGTGTAAACTTTTTCTTAAAGTTGTTCTCGTCCGACCAAAACACAGGAAATCAATAAATAAAATTAAGATTAAAATTATTAACCGATACCCGCATCGTTCGACAGTAAACCGGTAAACGAGTTCTCGTCGACAGCACTAGTTTTAGTCCCCAGTGCGCTACATACTGAAGATCCGTGACTAGTCGCTATTTTGTAAATGTTCACCCAACTGAAAATGTCCAATAGTAATATAGCTATATGAAATTACTGACAACTGCAGGTCGCTTCTTTAGCTGTCATGCGACATGCAGCGTATTTTGAATCCCTAATGATCAAAAACATGAGGCATGATTTAAAACCTTATCATGAGATCATATCTCAAAGGTCAAGATCACTGAACAATGGTATATTGAAAAGATGAATTTGTAAGAACCTAGAATATTTTTCTAGCATGATATCGATCTATAATTCTTTAAGGTTTTTTCCCATCAATGGAATAGATGAAGTGCAGATCCGTATTCCAATAATTAAAAAAAAAGTTCTAGCAAATATCAACAAGAGGATAAAGGGCATTAACGGTCACCTGAGTATTATACAACACTGTAAAGGATCCATAGAAAAATAAAACAAAATTTACTGATAGATGAAGATAGATGAAGCTATGTGGCCCAAGAATTTCAAAAATCTGGTAAAAATACCCTTGCTTATTGTAACGTGCAATGTTGTTTGCTGTGACGTCATAGTTAAGCGGCTGTGAGTGAGTCCTTTCTTTTGATATCAACAATTTTGAGAAACTGGCAGATTTTTATATTTTCATTAATTAAAATGTCGGAAAGACTTTATTTTACTGGTCCTCAAAACACGCGCTAAAATATAGTCTCTCCGTAGGTGAGCTCAATATATAGAAGATCGCGTGAGCGATCAAAAAAATAATAAAAAAATAATAAAAAGTATGAGGTTTTAGACATTTTGACCCCAAAATCGATTTCTACGGATTTAACCTCGCTCTCTGAAAAAATTAAAAAAAAATATTGCTTGTTCATCGAAAAAAGACCAAAAAAAATATTGTCAATGAAACGCGTGCGGTACAGGCTTAGTGCCGTTTCTTTCGTAGTTAGACTTTTTTTTCATGTAATCAAATGAACGAGATGTGATTGAAGTTGAATTAAGATCTTGCAAAAAATACAGATGCAATTAAATTTCTTAGTTAATCTAAAAGAATAAGACACTAATCATAATCTCTCGGATGGTATGCGAGGACTAACCCAAATCTCCCGAGCGGATGCTAGACTAATCCATGTGCGAGGAATAACCCTAATCTTTCTGATGGATGCGAGACTAGCGCTTATCAGTGGAAAACTTGTGCAAGGACTAACTCTCAGGTGGGTGCAAGATTAACCCTAATCAGAGAAATATGCAAAGGTTGAGTTACCTAAATTTTACGCCATAGTACAATAGGCGCGCGGATTTTGCCGATCTGGGGACCGATAAAGTAAAGTCTACCCAAAATATCAATTCTGATATTTCACTGTGAAAGTATCACCTACACATGTATTTATTTTAGAAAGTTGTTATATATAAAGGGTAAGGGTGCTACATCTCAGCGGCAAACTTCAACCCTTAAAAAAATAGTCACGGTAGCTCAGTCGGGCGCTCGCTCCATGATCGGAAAATCGTGGGTTCAAGCCCCTGCCGCGATATACTTAAGTCGATAAAAATAGGTTGCAACTGTTCCTTCGCCAAGTGCTCAGCACTTTGAAGTGAAGTTGCGGGTCTTTTGGATCAGCATTTGATCAGTCTAGAATTAGCTAGATTACTTATTTGTTCAAACTCCAAATAAAAGACACCTAGTAGTCGGACACATTTGCTTCTTATTTTGATTATTTACTAGAAAATGACACTGATATCAAAATAACAACTTAACTTTTTATGATAAAAGTAATGACTTCAACTTTTTTTTTTATTGTTAACTACCTTTATTTATGTTTTCAATATACCATTATCGCCTGCATAGGGAGTTAATATCTCCCAGATGATTCGATATGGGAACAATACCAAAAATTTCTAATACGAGGCAGACTTCTGACAAATAAGCTGATGAAACAAGGATATCTGTAATCTCGTTTAAAGTCAACATTTCGCAGATTTTATGGATACAGTGACCTTTTTCGCAAATACAATCTGTCGTTAGGGTAAACGATGACTGTCGTCTTTCATACAAATTAAGAGACCATTATTTTCTGAGTTTACTATGTTTAACTGCTCATGACAATGGGGACAGGGCAGGTGAATGGCCTGTTCATTATAAATATATACAACGATTTCTTGATAGGAAACATTTAGCAAAGGGGACTTATCGAATCTTGAATCCGCCTTCTGATTGGTTAATTAACTTAATTTAGATATTGAACCTCGAAATTCGAATCTCGTGTTTCGAATTTCGAATCTTGAACGAGCCTTCCTGGCTTTCGTAATTACATGTATTAGGATAGAATAAACAGGTAGGTAAATATCGATTATTACCTATAAGTATTTGAATTATTCAGAGAGAAAAAATTGTGGAATTGTATGCAGAAAAAAAAATCAGAGAAAAAAGTTTTTGTCGTGGACAGGTATATTTAAAATTGAAAAACAGTTAATATTTTTTGGATTACAAATGACCATACTACTTCCTTTAAGTCTTTAATTAACAAACACATCAGGCAAATATTTTCTTCTAATTTAAATACTATTTAAACACTACCCTTCAACCTTTTTGTAAAATAATCTAGAAAAACTACAGAGCATACAACTGCGTTTGTGGACAATTTGCTTAACAGTGATCAGATGGAGAATACTCTTCAGCTCGTGGTATGATTAATTCTGCAAATACTAGTAAACTTATACTTTTGCAAAGATAAAACACTGCTAAAAGTTCCGATTTTTTCACGTCTGAATACATGTAATATTTTAGGGGGAAAATGAATTTCAACACAAATTTTGAAAATGACTGAAACACAAATTCACACATGTAATTTTTGACTACTCCGCACACTTTCAAACTGACCTGCCGATAATAAGAAAGATATGCAAGAACAGGGGAAATCAATATGACATTAATTTACAAGGAACTACATGTTATCATAGCATACTGAAGGAATCAAAATCCTAACCGTAATCATAATTTTGATAAAACACATGAGTAAATCACATTGATAGGCAGGAAAGGACTACCGGTAGTGTGTGCAAAAATGCATTTCTAAACATACATGTAAATAAAACAAACTTCAGTTACAGATTTCAAAATTAGAACAGATAATTTTACAGAAGTAGATGAATAATAAATAATTTGTCATTCATAAACTTTTATAATATATCTCTAGTAATCATACCAGTTCACTTTCCGTTACTGTAGAACATGTTATCTTTATCACTTTGTGTGTGTGTTGGGGGGGGGGGGGTTCTTGTGTATGCTTATACATTTTAATTATTTTAATTATCTTCTTTTATCTTGAGCAGCAGAACTTTTCATAAGGAAAATTACACGATATTATGTTTTTCTTAGAAGGATTCCAGTGAATGTCGATTGAATATTTCCTTCACCATGACTTCCGCCATATACATGCTCATTAGAACCGTAAATCTGTATCCAGATGTGGTCATCTTTGTTCACATTTATAATCACCATCGCTGAGCTGGAGTCTGGTCCCCCTGGGTGCGGCACATAATTTGAAGCCTGTGCTGTACCTCCAACAATCAGCTGGGTATAAAAATCAGTGCCTCCTGTGGCTATGGTCCAGTGAAACATGTAGATGCCCGTCATGGGAGCAATAAAGATTCCGTCTTCAGTGTGGTAATGGTTTCCTATGTTGATGTACGTCTGCTCAAATCTTATGATTGTCCGGGTACTGATACCGCTAGTTCCTGAGGATTTGTATGCAGAAAAAAATACAGGATCTGTCTGATCGACCAGAACACCTATTTAAAAAAATGAAAATCATTTAATTCCAACATGCAAGTCTAAAGCTTTCAAATATCATTGTGTTAACAGCTATTTTGAGAATTTTCTTTAAAATTTAATTGGGTTACCACAGGATTTTAAAATGAAATAAATTTAATGATCTTAAAGGTCTATTTTTTTTTGATAAGCACTAAGTTGTTAAACAAAATTCTTATAGATTTCTAGATGTATATTATAAATTTTAAAATGCAAGAAATACACAGTACTACAGTGAAGAAATAAAACGTATTCGAAATGTCTTTGCCCTGTTGAATAAATTATACATGATCCATAACTTTCGAAACATTTCTTACCATATCTGATAGCAAGAACATCCAATGATGACAGATCGGCATCACTTCTCCCTGTCAATAGCTGTCCAAGGATTTGCTCTGTGGCGTTCAGTCGACGTTCTATCGTCTGCTCCAGTCTAGATAAGCGCTCTTCAACGCTGGTCAAATTCCGGCCTTTCAGGAGAGTGGCCAATTCAGCCGTTGAGACAAATGCAAAGAGAAGAGGCAAATGATAAAGGAGCATCTTTGATTTTTTACGTTTGGCTCTGTTTGGTTGGTTTTGCTCTGTAGCTCGGGGAGGCTATCTTAATCTTTCACGTCGTGGATTCTTTTATAAATATACACATTTTAGCTCGCCTATATGTCATTTTGGTTAATCTACTGTACGTGTACATAAATTGGCGGATTCAAAATTTAGCGCAATCAAGGGGTATGGAGTTGTTGGCGTAATCATGAATTAGCGCTACACATGTCCGTGCCGTGAATTGTATTAGTAAATGATTTCTTAACGGTATTCATGAATTAGCGCATCGTTGTCTGCGCCAAAGCCGGTAAAATATGAAGCCCATTTTTTTAAGTACACTTACATTATTTTGCATTTGCTAATTGTAGTCGATTTGACTTCAAAGTCTGATTTAAATATTGAACTATGTGAATAGGGATTTACAATGTATTGTAGGTCCATATGTATCCTTCAGTACTCTGTCCAGCATGTTTATAATTAAAGAAAAACACTTTTAGTTTCTGGAAATGGCGTAATTTATATTTTTACATTATATCATATTATCAAAAAAGACAATTCCAACGAAATGTAAATTATTTTTTCAAAAGATATTGTATCAAAGTGTCAGAACTGAAGCATATCTAGTTGATTTGAACTTTTTTCTGTTAATGAATTCTTTCATCCAGGTTACTGAAATAGGCCAACATCTTATTAAACTTGCTTAAGTATGAGGCAAAGTTAAAATGTGCAAAGCATCAAGATTTCCTTTTCTCCTTAGCTTCGTAAAGCTTTTTAGCTGATAAGAAAATGCCTCCTTTAAATTTTTTAGTATTGTTTATAATAATTATATTATTCACTTTGAAATTTTAAAGGGAGTCTTCCTTAGTGTGAAATTCTCAACATTTCTCAAATTTTATTAGAAACAGTAACACCCACAGATTTTGTGAAAAGCTGGCTGCAGGAAAATTTAAGCATCTCCATTCTTAAGACGACGTACCTCCGAATTCTATCGGATGTATCCTTGCTGCAGGACCTACAGTTTATCCGAAGCGAGCCAACTGGAGTTTTATTGTGTGAAAACTACAATAGAAAAAAATCTTCAATTCTATATCAAATGTAACTTACATTGACTTCAGTATAAATGCCAAGTAAAGGAAAAATCTATCGTCTGGGTTTTTTTTAAGGAACTGTCTCAAAATACAGGTACATTGTACATTTACTATAGGATTATATGGGATAGTACTAGTTTTTCGCACCTCAAAGCGAATTTTACGAATACTACAATAGACTTTCTGCTCAAATAATAATATAAGATGAGTTATACGATATTGTACATCATATGTAAGAAACACTCAATTCTATAGTCTGGTTTCCAGAGGGGGCATCTAAAAATGTTAAATTTTCCCGTTTTTCTGTATTATTACAAAATATGATAGATACTGATGATTTATAGCCAAAAAAATCAGAAAATAATTATGAGATTTCCAAATTCCTGTGTTAAAAATGTCAAAAGCATATATTTTATACTTTTTTTCTTTCAAATTATTTTTATGACCCCCTTTTAAAGAGCTTCATTTTATCTCAAGATAATTTATTGATGCAAAGCATCAAATCGGCCGCAAAATTTTTCACGTGTTGATACCCTGGATCTATTGTCGGCATCATCATAACATAGATTCATACAGATGATGATATCACAATAAATGTGAAATGTCGAAAAATGTGTTGCTTCATTAGGAGTTGTAGCAAACTCAAAACGAAATTTAATACCAATTTTTCTCCTTTTTAATAATCCGGAAACTTGTATCGAGTTGCTTTAAACCTTACGCATTCCTACTTTAGGGAGCACTTTTTGTATACCCTTTTATAAATTCATATATAAATATACCTTTTTAAAAATGACCAAAATAGTTGAATGCATTACTATCAATTATAAATACGTAGTGTAAAACATTTTTTCTCATTTTTTTTTACCCATAAGTTTTATGTATGCTAACAATAGTAAGTTATTCGATCGAGATCTGGACCAATAAAAAATAACTCCTCATTTCCCCATGTGCACTTTCTAACACAACCACAAATAGACTGGCCGCTGCTGCGGCCGATAATAACGTCACAAACACACTATTACGACGTCCATTTATCTAACAGCTAAAAAATCTTTTAAAAAATAAGTTTTTTAAATAAGATTTAGAATTTTTACTTTTTATTAATTAAGTTTAATTTGCTTTTAAAGTGTAAATGAGCTTGATTATACTATGCTGTGCGAATATTGCGAAATGAAAACCCTAGTCGGCCCCCTCAATTTTCATGAAATCCTTTCTCAACTTTCTGAGATATTGTGCAGACAGAGAGAAAACACAGGTCAAATACCACGTCATCTTATTCTATCCAACTTTGTTATCAGAGATACTATTAGTTGAAAAGATACATTTTACTTTTACCTTTTAATGTAAGCGCCTGGCTACCAACAAGATTGCGACATGCATTGTATTTCACATTTGTCTGTTGCCGTCCGATGACTTCGAAATTTTGAACTTCTCTGAAATATCGATACAATTTACATGAAAAATATAAGTACATTCGTAGTTGCGTAAGACGGCTATAAAATTCAAAATGATATCAATTTTTAGGTCACCTGAGTCACTCAGGTGACCTATTGCTATCTGTTTTCGTCCGTCGTCGTGCGTCGTCCGTCGGTCGTAAACTTTTGAACATTTTCAGCTTCTTCTCTTGAACCACTGAACCAATTTCAACCAATTTTGGCATATAGCATCAATGGGTGATGGGGTACAAAAGTTGTGAATATCATTGTCCCTGCCCCCCTGGGGCCTGGGTGGTTGGACTAAAACCATCAAAATCAGTGCTATCTTAAAAAATCTTCTTCTTCACTCCTGGACACCAAGCAGTTAAACTGTTGGCATGATTGTAATAAACATTGAGCCCTCTACCAGAATTGTGAAATTCATAGCCCCAGGGACAGGTTTCTTCTGGTGTTAGGGCGGGGCTGTATAGATCATATAGTGAAAGTGCATTATTTCTTTGAAAATGTTCTTCTCTACCCCTGGGTATTATTGAAACAAATTGAATACATAGTTATGATAAGCACTGGTGACTACCAAAATTGTGAAATTCATAGCCCCAGGGTCAGGGGTTCTGGTGCTAGGGTGGTGCATTATAGATCATATTGTGAAAGTGCATTATTTCTTTGAAAATCTTCTTCTCTATTCCTGGGTATTATTGAAACAAATTAAATACATAGAAATGATAAGCAAGAGTGACTCTACCAAAATTGTGAAATTCATAGCCCCAGGGTCAGGGGCTAGGGCGGGAATATATAGATCATATAGTGAAAGTGCATTATTTCTTTGAAAATCTTCTTCTCTACTCCTGGGTATTATTAAAACAAATTAAATACATAGTTATGATAAGCAAGAGTGACGTGACTCTACCAAAAATTGTAAAATTCATAGCTCCAGGGTCAGGGGTTCTGGTGCTAGGGCATGGCTATATAGATCATGTAGTGAAAGTGCAATATTTCTTTGTAAATCTTCTTCTCTACTCTTGGTATTATTTAAACAAATTACATACATAGTTATTATAAGCAAGGATGCCTCTTTTAAAATTGTGTATTTCATGGCCCCTGGATCAGGGGTTCTGGTGTTAGGGCGGGGCTCTATTTATTATATAGTGAAAATGCATTAATTCTTTAAAAATCTTCTTTTCTGCTCCTGGGTATTATTTAAAAAACTAAGTACATTGTTATGATAAGCAAGGATGCCTCTTCCAAAATTGTGAAATTCGTGGCCCCAGGAACAGGGGTTCTGGTGTTAGGGCAGGGCTATATAGATCCTATAGTGAAGGTGAATTATTTCTTTGAAAATCTTCTTCTCTGCTCCTGAGTATTATTTAAACAAACTAAGTACATTGTTATGATAAGCAACGATGCCTCTTCCAAAATTTTGAATTTCATGGCCCCAGGGTCAAGGGTTCTGGTGAAAGGGGGGGGGGGTCCTATTGATTATATAAAGAAAAAGCAAAATTTCTTTGAAAATATTCTTTTCTGCTTTTGGTTAAAAAGCAAAGAAACTAAGTGTATAGTTATGATGAGCAAGAGTGCTTCTTCCAGAGTAGTGAATTGTATGACCCCTGGGTCAGATGTGCTGGTGTAAGGGTGAGGCTCTTGACAATATAGTGAAAATGCATTAATTCTATTAAATAATCCTGTCTGCTCCTTAGTGTTACATGTAAGCAGATAAACAAAGTTATTACCTATGATCAGCAAACTTCTTGTCCCAGGGTCAGAGGCTCTGGTATTTCTCGGTGGGGAGGGGGGGGGGGCTCTATTGATAATATAGTGAATCTGTAGTAAAAATGCATTATTTCTTTGAAAATCTTCTCTGCTCCTGGGCATATCGGAGGCAGAGTAAAAGTTTTAATAAGGAAGGGTATTTTTACCAGATTTTTGAACATCTGGACCATTTGGTCAAGTGTTCTGGTCCTGGCCAGGGCTCTATTGATTTGTATTCTACTGAGAGGAGTTCTTCCCCTTGGCCTTTTACTTTTGATAATTAATCACTGTAAATAATATACTTGAAAGGTTAATAGAATAAGAGAGTTATGCAAGAGTTTTTATTGTATAATACAAAAAATACTTTCATAGTTTTAATGATCAGGAAGATTTGTAAGTAATAGATAGATAAAAATGAGACAAAAAAATTGTCTTATTAAATGTTCATTAAAGACCAAGAGAGGCCAATGTAAGAGATTTCAATAAGGAATTAAAACAGTACAGAAGCACTGATAGTTTGTTAATATACTGTATGGTGATAGTGATAAATGGGGAACATATTAGAACCTAATTTATGAACAGTTAATGAATACTAGATTAATTATTTTGTTGATCCTGATCACCCTATTTTTCTTGCTTTGGGCAACAGAGCTTCACCTTTCAGTTCATTTTATACTCTATGGATCCTCTAAATTGTTGTATTATACTCAGGTGACCGTTAAGGCCCTTGGGCCTCTTGTTAATAATCTTTTTTAC